AGCAGCGGATGAGTACGGATCCCCTGCCGAAACGAGCCGCCACGCGATGACGATCGTCATCCACCCTGCGGCAATTTCGATAAACATCTTTCGACAAGCACACTTCTCATATGAATTGTATTGATACCGCCTGCGTAAACCCTCCTGGTCATCTTTTGTGTCGCACAGACTCCAAATCCCCGTCTTGAGTCCAACGACACCCAATCATTATCTCCACGCTTAGCTGCAGGTGTCTCCACTATGGCGGAGCGAGAAACCAAGAAAGGCGGCCTGCGTGCCATGTTTGGCATGCGATCAGGGAAACAACCAAAAGAGCCGGGTACGCGGAAGAAGCTTTCCAAGAAAGGATCACGAAGCGATATACTCGGAAAGCTTGACTCAACCCCGAACGTTGCGAACACCAACCGCCAGGATTCTGGCAGCTTCACGAATGAAAGAAGCGATTTATCAGAGAACGCTTTTGGCTTACCGACCTACGAAGATGTCACTGGTCTTGCGCCACATGCGTTGCGTGATCACCCATATGCTGCCGTTAACGCTCTTACGGACACAAATAACGCATACTTACAGCCTGGGCAACAAGCGGCCGATTACCGTCGCAACTCAGAAGGACAACCACAGTATGCTGCACCTTTATATCAACCACATAGCTCGAGATCTGCATCAATACCGCAACTGGAACACGAAAAAACTCTACCTTACGCGCCATCAAAACCCCAGCCTTCAAGGTTAAGCAAGGCCCATCGAGCGCCTTCGAAGTCCACAAGAGCCGATGATATTCTAGATAAGGATACCGGAGAAAGGAAGGATCTGACAGATATGATGCATGCTTTCACATACATTGATGGAGTGGACACTATTGAAGAAGAAAGGGATGATCAATCGCTACTATATGACCCTACAAAGCCTGATGGAATGGCAGTAATTGGCAGTGCATCGCCTGAAGTATGGCTCCGTGTTGCAGATTTTCTGTCACCACTCGATGTTGCCAACCTATCGTCTACATGCCGGACCATGTATGCTCGACTAGGTAGACACCCGTACAAACTACTCATAGACCCGCTCCACCGGCCGCATCGGCTCGAGTTTCTACTTGCAATGGACCAAAAGATGCCACGCCATCTCTTTTGTTTTCCCTGCGCGCAGTGGCATTTACGAATCCAGCCTGGCCTAGAGACACTGAAACCTCAGAATGTCCTCAACCCACTCTTTGAATGTCCTAATCGAACCAACATCCACATCCCTCCACCGCGAATTCGTCTAAGCGATGGCCGCACGCTTCCATTCGCCTTCATTCAATTAGCTCGCCGCCATTGGGCTTACGGTCCAGAATACGGCATTCCTCACCAGTCGCTGGGCCGCCGTTGGAAAGATGGGTACTCAGACTGGAGCCATGACTCTACATATCACATCACTGACAAGGGTCACGTGTTGATGCGCATTCGATCACAACATTATGTTGAAGGCGGTATGACAGATGCAGCAAAGCGCATGCTTTTGTTTAGCCGTGGAGACTATACGCCCTACTTCAGCGTATGCGCGCATTGGAAACATGGACTACTAACTTCGATCCCCAAGTGTGCACTGAAGCATATTCCTCACGTCCACGACTCCGAAACAACGGCTCTCGACAAGTTCCGCGAACGCAACTTAGGAAGAAGAGCCGTCGGCATGGTTCATCTCTGCTCCATATGCCGACCGATGCGTCGCTGCCCAAAATGTCCCACGGAATACTTATTTGAACTCAAACTTGTCGAAGATAAGAGTGTGCGCGGCAACGGCCCTGAACGCTTCAAACAGGCTCTCATCGTTACGCGCTGGAGCGATTTAGGGCCTGCACGCAGCCCCACGGATCCTGAATGGAGCGCTATCACAGGTGAAAATGACACATACGACAGTTTCGTAGAGATCGGGCGAAGAGCTGTTAGTGGTGTGTTTGAGAGTGCGTTCACGGATACGATACCTGGGCAGCGGATCATGAGCATGAACCCGATGGACGTGAAGGCAAACGAGGAGAGCGGGGACTGGTACTAACTGAGTCCAATATATCAATCGAGTGTCTTGCAGAAAATGGGATACGTCTGGACGAACCCACATAGCATCTAAGCAAACCCATGAATATACGGTTATCGCCGTTGAAGTTTCACGCAGTCAATGTCTCTTGCCAAGGAATGGCGCTGGATCCCGTAGGTATTCTACATACTGTACACCCAAGTCCCCACGTACACATCCTTGACCCCGTTCCATGCATCACTTCAACGTCACCGCATATGGATGATAACATCACCCTATTGCATGCTCCCAACTGCTGAGCTTGAGCAGAACCAGTCACGCTCTTATGGTGCCCGTACTACCTTCCTACCAGTAACCTCGTAACGTTGCAATTCCTGCAAAATCTTTGGAGAGTCGGCAAAGTCGTATACTTCGACTTTTGGTGTGATCTTGCCTTCCAAAGCCATTTGTAGAAGCTCGTCCATCTGCTTAGCGCTGCCTGTTGACGATCCTCTAATGACCAACCCTGGTATTGTTAGCGAAATGTCTCCAGCATTTAGAGAAGATGTGAAGAAATACCTCTGTTAGCGATGTGAATCGGAGACATGGGAAACATGAACGTGTCCGGCGGAAGTCCAACACAAACGAAGACGCCACTATTCCTCGCCAACGCTGGAGCTTGCTGATAGGCTCTTTCGCTTCCAGCGACGCAGATGACGCCATGCGCACCTTCACCATTTGTGAGGTCCCTGACTGCTTGTAACACATCCTGCTTGGCGTAGTCGACAAAGGCGACGGCACCCATTTCCTTGGTCAGCTTCTCCTTCTCGGCTCCGCTGTCAATCGCGATGACTTTGTATCCCTTGATGGTAGCAATCTGCACACCGATATGTCCAAGACCACCCCCAGCACCGATGATAGCCACAAAGTCGCCTGAGTTGACCTCTGGAGTGAGTTTGGACACGGCGCCCGCAAGACTCAGGCCTGCACAGAGTAGTGGCGCCGCAATCTCGCTCTTGACTCCCTCTGGTATCTTGGCCACGAATTCGGCATCCGCAACCACATACTGCTGCAATGTACCCCAAACACTCCGTCCAGTGTTCTTCTGCTTGGCACAGTGGTTCTCCTTGCCCTGTTTACAGCTACTGCACTCCTTGCACGCGTTCCAAAGCCACTTTATGCCCACCCTCCTTCCTAGCAGGTCTTCTGATACACCCTGGCCAAGTGATACGACAGTGCCGACGCCTTCATGACCAGGCACCTCAGTGTATTTGCCAGGGGAGACCAGGTTGTGGCAGTCGCTGTGACATATCCCGCTGTATTCGAGCTTTACGAGGAGTTCGCCGGTGGAAGGGGTCTGGACTTGGACATCGTTTCGGATCTGGAGGACGCAATCAGGGCCGGGATCTTGGATCCAACCTGCAGTTTGCGTCTTGGGAATTGATTCGGCCATGATTTTGACGATTACCGCTAGATGCGTTCAGGGGAAGGTGGGGCTTGGTGGGATGCTGTTTCGGCGATCGACAAAGTAATCTTGAGCAAAAGGGATGGCTATTTCACCTGGGCAATGCGAGAGGGAGACTTGGATACGCGCAATTGGATATACGCAAGAAAACAACAGGACATCAGGCAAATTAATCGCCGACATGCAACGAGACGGCCTGCAACCATAGTGGAAATGGTGACGATACCCCGCGACTGCCCCACCATCGGCCTTCTCCGGCTGCCAATCGGAGCGCGTCAACCTCCGCATCTCGTTCGCGGCTGCCTTTTCGGCTCTTAACGTCACTTGTGCCACTGTCCCTATAATCGTGACTCACCTGAGGACAGATAGTTAAGGGCGGAAATGATTGAGGTGGCTGTGTTGGACGATAAGCCTTTACCTCGGATTGGGCGTGTGGGTGAGTGGGCTTCGTAAAGTCTACCGAAGAACGCTAAGTTCGTATCCCACTGAGAAGCTGGTAGGCAATGTTATCTCCATTGCATAATGCTCTTCTCATTTGTCTCATTCTGACGCGATGTTTTCCCTAACCATTCAACGAGAGATTTGCCGAGTGCGCGGATCCCTTATGTTTTCTGATTCTCAGACTGTGCTGCTTTGCTTTCGTCTTCAAGTTTCATTCCAGCTAGCAATTCACTAACGCTCTGGCCTCCGCTTGTTCATATCATATCATCATACCTCCACTCAAACCTGGCTTTGTCGTTATCCCTTATAGCTTTTTCATCTTTCTCTGTTGTCTCGTGTCCTCTGATGTACTCCCGCATCGCCATGGGTTCATGTCGACTGAATATCTCAGCTAATCAGAATTGCTGTCTCCACTCGCAAATGTGGTAAGAGAATACTACGGAGAACACTTACTGGGCTTATAACTCCCTAGATCCTGTTCATTCGTCTCAAGAGGTCTCATGGCCAGCCTCAGCCCGGTTGAGAATTGCGTGTCAAGTTCTTCGAGAAACCCTACACAAAATTCTTCCTCAGTCAAGTCAGTGCGCAAGCTGAGAAGTGGTGGTGATCATCAATATGATATCTTACCTCGTCACGCTAGCTGCGAGGTGAGAGAGGCGTCCGAGATGTGTGTGTAGCGCCTGGGGTGTCGCCTCCAGGACTTGCGCAATCAATATGTACTTTTGCAAACCCTAGGTGAAGACGAGTTGCATTGTCAAGGTGACCGTGTACACACACATCAAGTAGAATATAAACATTGAGCAATCTTCAACATCGTACCTTGACCTCTCTTAACCACTGCCTCAACAGAACCTCTTTATGATTGGAGTGATCTTGTATCTACACTGCTAATCACCAAAGCTAGGCTACAATGATGATATCGGACCCTGAAGTGCAAATGGCCAAGCCGTCCAACCGCACTCACCGATTTTTCACGAAGACCGTCCATTCACTCAGCGCACATCGTAGAGCCCCACCTCGAATCCCTCTTCCTCACTCGATCATAATCAAAGTTACACCACCTACACCACCTTCCTCTCCCACACCATCACGACGATCAAGTATGCATTGGGACAAGATTGAGCTTTCCAATTACCCACCACAACTCACTTATCAAGACGTGCTCACGCTCTTCCAAGATTTCACCATCTCGCCTGACTTTGTTCTGCCCAACGTCAAAAACCTTGCCTACCCGTTACGCACATTCATCAGGATCGCTGGAGAACAAGAAGCAGAACGCGCGGTACAAGAGCTGTGTTGGAGCAAAGTCGGCGGGCGTCAGATCAACGTGAGAATGGTTGAAGAGACAGGTCACCAAGAGATGGAAGTTGCTGTCGCGGATGTGGCTGATGAGATGAAGATCGGTATCGTCAGTGAGTAAACATGTTGTGAGCTTACAAGAGCTCTTTGCTAAAGTTAGCAGACACTGCGCGTGTATATAACCCGCACCTGACTACGAAAATTCTCGAGGTTCGCGAATGCATGCAGGGTACAGCCAACTTTGCTTTCCTACAGGCACGCGATCCGGTCACGGTATCCAGCAAACCAGAGGCACATATGCTATCAACGGATGACAAGGCGAAGTGGGAGCTGGTTATGGCTGGTCGCTCGGAAGGTTGGAACTGGAAGATGAAGGATGGCAGTGGTAGACTTGCTGCGTTGAAAGACCTACAAGACACGTTGCAGAGGCAGGGTATCATGAGGAAGTTGTGGGGTCAATGGGAGGGTAGCAGTGCGCTGGATATGCATTGAGTCATCGTATGGTATGTTCCCTACAATGGGTGACTCTATCGAGGCATAATACGTACAGAAGTGGACTCTTGGCCCGAATCGACCTTTGTTTGATCTGCAAGCCTATAAACTTCTCTCAAAATGACATGACTTCCGTGGTACTGTTCGCTCTCAACCTCTGCAGTTTCGAAGACTATCTGCCAAAATCTAAACGTCCAGCAGATCTCAAGGCAAGCACAAGGTCCGCGGCGAAAAAACCGTATTTCTTAACCGTTGAATCAAATGTAGTATTTGCATGCATCTGGCTGCGCGGGATCCAAGAACCAGCATGCTTGTCGGTTCCCTGTGCTATGGTAATACCCATGGTGCTCTGGGCGTGTGAACAAGCACCATAATACGCTGCAACAACCTCAGCAATGAGATTAGCGCGCAGAGACCCTCCGTGAGTGCGCATAGCAACCTCGACTTGGTCGCAGGTAGGGTGCAGGAGAGGAGTAATCTCGTACTTGTCAGCTAGAATATGGACGCCAATGGGAACCTTGATATTCTGCTCGGCTATGGCCTCAATACCCCACCAGTCTGGGCATGAAGGGGAAGGCAATTCCATAGTGTAAATGAACTTGAGCATGAGCTTGAAGTTCTTCGGGTCGTCATCGAGCACTTCGATTGTTTGCTCAGAAGTTTGCTGAAAAAGGGACTTAGCGAAGATCGGTTGAGGTCTTCGAGAAAGGGTAATACCTTGGATGTTCCGGTAAACGCTTTGAGAAACCACTTAGAGTGTGCGCAGAGCACAGCTTTATGTGCGAAGTACACTTTAGCCTTGCCTTTGTAAATTTGGCGAATCTTGACGTCGGAGAGAGTGGGGTTATTGAACAACCTTTGTGTTATAAAACGTCAGCGTCGCCGCTACCTAAAGCGACGTAAGAACACGTACGAAGTACCTGCGGACTTTGACGGTAATGCCATTGTAAGAGGTGTTTTAATGGGGTTGCTTGATACCATCGTTTGGTTTTTGGTATACAATTTGTGCTTCAACCAAGGTTGAAGAATGAAGACAGTATCGAGGGTGCAGAATCTGTAGTCAGTCTCCGTGTGCCAAAACTTGCAAACACTGCTGGAAACTGACAGAAGACAGCGGAGTAGTGAGTGATGAGTTTGGCGAAGTGAGAGACGAAATGAAGCCACGGCTCCGACAGTGTGGGAGCATGCGAGTAGTGACAGAAAACACGTTACTGTTACCGATGACCAAACTCAACAATCTGGTTTGTATCAAGAGTTCTCTAATCCTTTACTTTCCGAGCTCAGTACGTCTCCCATTCCGTGCCTTCGAATATATTTTTCCGGCAAAGCGGGCAATCGTGGGCCCTCGCATACGGCCCGTTGACCTGCTTCGACAAACACTCTTCGCAGAACATATGACTACAAGTGATGAGACGACGCATACTCCTTTGCGGTTCCAAACATATGCAACATTCAGTATCTACAACAGTTGAGAAGACGTTCAAGTCGACTCGGAATGTTGAGTGCGGTGCTGCTGGCGCCACTGCTGGAGTGTCTGGATCTGTAGGGACGATGCCAGTGAGAGATGGAGGCAAATCGTTTTCGGAAGACAAAAGAATCGCAGACAGGGACGAGATAGCGCTTGCGATACGTGCAACAAGACCTTGAGGCTGTGTGGCGATGGATGGAGTACGGTTCGAATGTCTAGAGACCACTCTCGGGAGTGTAGCATGGGGTACAAGGACATTAGAAGCGGATACATCTTGGCTTCGATTCGTACCAAGAGCCTGTCTGCGCCTAGTTGTTACTGTTCGGGACTGGTATGATGCATGCGATGGTGGCAGCGGTATTGAAGTTCTTGACTGTATGTCTGAAAGATTTGGCGTAGGTATGGAAATCTGCGAGACCATCGAACGTCCTATTGGCGGTAATGTAGGTCGTTGTGGTGGGTTGGCCGGCTCGCTACGGAGCGGTCCTTGGTAATCTGGCATGTGTCCGATACAGAAGTATTGGCCATCGTAGTTGTCTTGATACAAGGTTCCAACACGCATGCAGCGATGCGGATTCCCCGTACAGCGACCTGGTGTTCTCTCTATAATGGCATCGCATCGATTTGCATGCGAATCACAGAACCAGTTTTGCCCCTCGGTGTCGACACAAGTGCCGCGTCTCCAGCCATCTTCTGCGCAAAGCGGAATCCCGATCCGCGTGTATCCAATGCAACAACAACATAGCCATTTATCGGAGAAGGCATAGTATATAAGGGCTTGGTTTGGGCAACCCCTGAACCATTCGCAAACTGGTGGACAGACTCGCATTCTGTGATGGGCCGTTTTGAGGTATGCGATGCCGCAGCGAGTCGACTGAATTCGTGTTTAGCGTCTTGTATTTGATATTTTAAACACTGTGGAGTGATGATCGACTAACAAACAAAGGATGTTTGCACTGCAGAATGAATACAGAGTCCGACGGTGGGGTGTGGATCCGACGGTGGGGTGTGGATCCGACGTCAGCACCCATATCGCAATTGTTGCAGTTGATGCAGCCTTGAGATACACTCCTTCTGTGTAGTGCATTTGATGGCAACAACTCCATCGCAGCTACCGATGTGTACTGAGCAGCGAAGGCGCGGATATCTCGTGATTGACGTGCCACGACATTCCTGGAATGTGAATCCTAGCCAACGAGCTTTCTTGATGGTGGCGCATCGGGCGTATCCAACCACGCGTGATAGATTGACCTTGTGGCCTGAAGGTTTGAGGCGATCAACGCATACGACGTAACGTATGTTGTAGAGCTTCTAAGACTGTTTCGTGGTCAACAACCTGGGGGTCGCGGGCATGGTGACATTACACACGCGTGCATGGCTACACGGTTTTCATGCTGTTTTGTAGCAATAGATGAGACGCGCTGGCATCGCGTTCTTGCCAAATCATCGCGTTGTTGTTAAGCTCGAATCGCGTCACGTTGCTTAGCCTCGGTGTCCCCTGATGACGTCACCACTATTGGAGCATCCCAACACGTTTCCGTTCCACAGCGCGCATGCCTTGGGTCTTTGCTGCATGCTGACAACAACTGCTAAGACCAAAGATCCTCATACTTCGATAAGGAAATTGGCACGTTGGGTAATGCAGTAAGATAACTGGCTGTAGCATATGCGAGCAAGCGCTGGTAGGCTATTCCAAGACTATTTAGCATACCACACTGTGTCTATAAGCAAAGACTTAATTGCGTCTTCGAAGAAACCTCAACCAATGCAAATAGAAATCGAACAAGTTTAGTCCGCAGAACCATATTGTTGTGACCGCTGTTCGCAAACAGCAGTCCTTGTTTGCTGAGACGCAGGGTTGAGATGTCCGTTGAGGATGTTGTTGAGAGATTATGGCCTATAGCGCAGTATGTATGTTTATGGTAGGCTTACATACTGGATACCTTGGTACAACTTGCACAACAAGCCAACCACAGCTCCTGTAATTCCAGTGAGCTCAGCAATATCGAGCCAATTAGCAACTCCGAGGGAAGACATGGCAAGTATAATATGCTCAGACAGAGATGAACCCTTTCCTACCGCACCCTGAACCAAATGATGGTTACCTGGGCCACCCAACAAAGGATTGAACAAAAAGCGAAGGATGTGCGCACGACTCGACTGCACCTCTCTCTCTTTTCGTTACAGTCCACCTTCTCGCAGTAACCCCAGCCAGATCTAGACATGTCGCCTGTCCGCACCCTGCTACGCGAAATACGCGACGTGATAATCGACGGTCTTCGCATCACCAATTACAAAAGGGCTGATCAACAAGTCTTTGGTCCACTATACGCATCACTCTACTCACGACGTTGATCTCATCTTCGAAAACCGCGATCTCATCATTCGCTTCAAATCCTCCCGTCACACCCAGGGACAAAATAGCCCAACATACTTGTTTCCTCGGACATATCCTGCCTCGCTACGACAAGCAGTCGCCAACCTTCAGTCGCTTTTCAAATCGCACGTCCCACGATATGCACGTCCCGATGCATATTCTCAACGTGGGCGAAGGAACCGGTTCTAGACAAGATTTTGGATCTCGCTCAACCCTCAGGCGAAACAGAGATCGTTCTCTGGACGTCACCAAGGGTCTCCATCTAGGGTTACAACTTGATATCGCATCTGCCGTAAAACGTCTCAGGACCAGGAGCAGATGGAAGAGACGATGGTCGATCCCTCCTTCACTCGCAACAAAGATGAAGTGGGAATTTCGTTATCGGAGCTGTCAGGAAGGATGATTGGAATACTGGTGCTGGTTTGTTGGGTCTCCTTCTGATGAGGATGTATCACGTGTGTTGTCCAACTCAGTCGAATAATTTGCTGTCGGACCAGCCATGGTGGTTTCGCAATGCTCACGGACAGCCCTGCTGCATTCGATACAACTCTGGCCCTTCCACAGCATCTTTGGAGTTCGAATGGTTGCGTGGTTGAAAAGAGTGTTTCAGCGTCGTCGTCATGGTTGAGCTGAACGTTATGTCAGGGAGGAAGTGTGGCCAACAGTACGAATCAACGATAGTAGTCAGCCTTGCGGATGAATGTGGATAGCCGGCGAAAACATGTATCCGCGAGGTGCATAGTTCTAGATCCCTAATGCTGCGTTTATTCCATAACTCCAGTACCCACAGCGTATCGACCACACAATTGATATCTGCCATGCTCATTCCATTCCTCTCTCCCCTCTCAGGTGTGTACACCCGGAGTTGCCCTTTCGCAGTCCCGACCTCACGGATCCATGGTGTCAGTCCACTGTTATAACCCGATGACGATGTCGTGACTGTTTCCACGCTCGGCCAGTATGCCATCGAATCCACATCCCACCCTCCCGTTCTTTCTTTGTAAAGCCAGCCTTGCCACACATACTCCCTGTCTAGCATACCGCCAGATGGTGTGACCATAGTTTCTCGTAGAATGGTCATAGGTGCCGGCGGATATCGGTCTCTTGCCCAAATGTGGAGTGCATCGGCAGGGCTGAGTGGTCCATTGAGCAGATGGCGGGGTTTATCGGGAAAGCGAGCCATGGTCTCGGTGTATTCCTAGTAGACTGTGATCGGCGAGTTTTGCGGGTTGAAGTGAACTGTGGCTCCCCTTTCCCTCGCCAGGATTGTGTGTGCATCGTGCAGTGAGAACATGTAGAAAAAGGTCACATCATGGCTTTTGTGCCTGAAGAACTCCACAGGACAAGGTCGTGGAAGGGATGTACTCGGTTTGATTTGTGACTCCATTATCATCCAGATATTGATTTGGGTACTCGCTGATGCGGACGATTCGTGATTATTGATGTTTGGTTGGGTGATGCTAGAAAATATGGAATGTCTCCGTTCTGGACTTCCATTTATAGCTTCCTTCCCACAAGGCCTCTTTCCGAACGCTAATATACAAGAAAGACGTTGCAACGATGTGAACTTAGGGAAAGCAGTACGCTAGTAAAAGGAAGGTGGAGACAACAATGCGGTAACACGTTTGAAGGTATCCAGATTAGTTATCCTACTGATGTGATTAGAGATGTCTGAAAACTTTCGTAAGTCTGATACTCTGTGAGCAATATATAGGATTACAAAGGGCTCCAGGGCAATGATCCACCGCAAGGATGAGGTATCTTTGTTCCCGACGCCATCCGGCGGTAATGTGGGTTGAGCTCCCTGGATGTGTCGTCCCACGTATGCGGACAGCCGCGATCGGTCACACTTGGCAGGAACGACCGATGGGCACGATGGAGGCTCGCATCGACGCGGCCAGATGGCCACGTACTATACCCTTAGCGTAAACCTTTTCACGCGCGTCAATAGTATGGTAGTAGAAAGCAAGTACGAGGAATGCAAGAGGGTGCTGATGAAGTGGAAGCGACACGTCACGGTGTGACAAGCTCCTTCCAGGTACGCGGGTGGGTCTTGGCATGGCAGGGATATGGTGCCGACGAAGCGTGGGAACCTGGAAA